CAGTTAATTCGATGACATACAGACACTTGGAAGCAGTTTTGATTAGCATGTTGGGACCGAACAAATCCCCAGTTATGATACATGCTGATAAATAAGCAGGAATGTCTGCATATATGAATACATCTCGGATACAATGAAATGATGATGCAATGAAGTGCAGGGCAGAGTCGTGCCTCCAAGTAAAACGCCCTTGCTCAAGGTATTTGTTACATCTAGCTAGTGATTCAGGCTGAAGGCAGAATGAGCAATCTGGGGAAGAGCTAATTTTCCATAAGCAGAGGCTGTTCCTTGTGGCTAGTGTGTTGTTGAGATACCTTATCGTAAAGTTGAAGATGTTTTTTGGAAGTTTACTTTGAGCTGCAGACCAGAGTGAGGTTAACTTTGTATAGGAATGCTCGAGAAGGAATGAAATGAAGAATCCTTGAGATGTTAACTGAGTTTTAGGCTTTTCAGTGTGTAGATCCCTTACACATTTCAGTACCATTTCAGTGTTCTTGTATGCGTTGAACTGTATATTAGGTTCATAATTGGTGTTCATCCATAGGGATTTGACTGAGTTTCGAAGAACAATCTGGCACTGTTGAAACTTTACGGAAGGAAGCAGAAGCTAAAGACCAAAGTGTTTAGGAGAAAAAACTATGCCACTCAGTGTCGAAGATATTGGAAGCTTGAGCCACTGTCGAATAAATTTTGTGACAAGCTGATCTAAGTTTTCACAAACCCACGTTTTGAAGAGATTAGCAACTGTGAGATCCAAAGAGAGCTATGATAGGATGTATTGATTAAACAGTAGAATTTTGTTCCGGGATGAATTTTCAAAGAATCGATAACTTTGAGCATCTCACGAAGAGAAGAGGTCAAGTGATCTTTGTGTTCTGGTTCTTCATATCATAATTGAAGAAACGACCCAGGTATTTGAAAGATTCGCCGTATTTCACAAAACTTTTTTGTTTCAAAGGTGATACACTTGTCTACGCGGATGATCATATTTGCCCATTGGCACCATCTTGTAGAACAGTTTAGCAATAATTGATTTTTGCGTTCATCACTTGTGACTGCAGCATCATCAGCGAATTGGAACCAGTAAACCGGGTTAAACAAGCGATCATTGCCGTCATAAGGAGAAAATCTAAGTTTATATTTGTCTTGTTTTACCAGCTGAATGAATGTGTTAAAACATAAATTGAAAATGAGAGTTATAATAATAATAATAATAATAATAAGTGTAGGTCTCTCGCCTGACAGGTGTACCATGGTCCAGCAGCATGGTCCCGGTCTTCACCCAGCTAGTGCTAGGAGGACCCGACAAAAATGGTCTCACAAAGAGAATAGAGTTGTATTAGAGTGCTTTTGAAAAGCAACCCAAAAAAATTGGTTATTGAAAGAGAATACATAACCAGAGGCGGATCTAGGGGGGGTGCTATGGGTACTTGAGCACCGGTCAGAATTTTCGAAGATATAACATTCAATGCATTTTCTCTAATCTCTAAAAAACGTCTTGAATCCTTTTAGATGATGTAAATGCATTTTCTAGTAAACTGATGACATACGGTCATGCGTTAGTTAGCATAACCTGTACCTGCTTTAAACTATAAATAGCTAGAAATTTCATGTTGAGCTGCCCTGGAACCAATTTTTTTACTTGTCTATCAAACCACACTCTCGGCCAATGAGCTACTTCAATTCTACAGGTGCTTGAGCACCCCTATCAATCAACCTCTAAGGTCAAAGTTGCAATTGAGCCAATCACATCATGCTCTGAAAACGTGGAAAAAATAAAAATAAACAAAAGTAACAAGGAGAAAATAAACAAAAAGATAGGAAATAAAAATAAAACTATGTGTCAACTAACCTAATATTAAGGCCCCGGGGCGCAAAAGTTTCTAACTTATACTGCCAGAAACTTTCACGTATCCTACCATTCCCATTAAGTCTATCTATAATAGTAACTTTTATATCTTCAAGAAACCCATGATGATCCTTCCCTGCAAAATGCCGGAAAATTTTAAATTTTTTCCACGTTTTCTATCTACTTTCTTTCTTTTCTTTGCATTCTATATTTATTATATTTATTTACCTAGTTTCTTATTTTTTTGGGACAGACAGCATTTACCGTTCCTTTTCCTTGGACCTTTCTGCATGCTATACCAACTGCTATCACACTTGTTCTATTGTTCTTTGATCTATCGTATTTATCCATCTTTTCTCACCTCCGGCTGTGCTTAGAAACTATCATTATGTTGTTAAATTAGCTATTATTGTTCTTGCTTGTAAAATGTGTTACTTTTTGTTCTTTTGTTCCGTATTCCTTATTTTACGCTCCAGATGTATGTGTTAGTTATTCTGAAGAAGCTTATAGCGAAACGTCAACCAAGTTGTTTTTTTATTGAGTATCTATTTATATTTTTAAAGAACTTTAAAGTTAGGAGCTATTGAATATATATATACAGTTTGCTTAGAATAGGTATAGAATGATGATACATTATGGAGCATATTATTTTAATTATTCGAACATTCGCATCGCTTATCAAGTTGGAACATCATCGGAGTTTCCTGGAATTTTGCCGTGTCTGCGACGTCACTCCATTTGGCCTTCGCCTGAGAAAAGTCTGTTCCTATCCTGGCCAGAAAGAAGAACAATTTGAGAATTCCTGGACAAGTGTTTTGAGAACGGCCGAGAGACAGCTTCTTTGCCTAATGATATTGAAGTACAGGGAGGATATTGAAAGAGCCGAAGTGTCAGCCTATGAACGGATGCAGAGCCTTCGGCAGAACTTGACTAAAGAGGAAATGGGACACATCAAAGAACAATTAAGGGAACTTCATAGCAGTCTTCTGAAAAGAAGACAAAAGAAAGGAATGGCCATACTAAATGGAAATCATGGTCAGTCGGATGGTTTGCGATGGCTCATGACGAAAACACATATTGAGGGCCACCTATTCAGCGAAGAGGATCTGTGTTCGGGACAACGACCTGCGGAAACTACCGGCACAGGGCAAGAAGATTGCCAAGGAGACGAGGGGGGAGTAATAGGACCTACAGACAGGATTATTGGACAATTTGTTAGTGGGAATGTGGTGAATCTTTCACACCGGACCCTTTCCGAAGTGGAAATAAGCCTCCTCTCGAAGGGTCTGAAATTTTCACCCACTCCTACTGACTTGGACAAGGCGCAGCTGAAGGCGGATTTCGATGTCTTTAAAAGAAGAATGCGTTTACGCTGGTTTTTCCGAGATTCTGAGTCAAACCCTGTGGACGTTAATATTTCTAAATTTAGGTGTAAGTCCAGCTGGAATCCTCCTACTTCTGATCCTCTGCTAGAATCTTTTCTTTCTCAACTTGAAAAGGATGTGCTGTCTATTACCACGGATGGTAAGTATTACAGTAACCTTTCCTCTTCTGAACTTTCTGCGTTGAATAATTTTAAGTGTGATAGGAATATAGTTATCAAGGAAGCGGACAAGGGCTCAGCTGTTGTAGTTTGGGACAGGGGGGATTACATAGAAGAGGCTAACCGGCAGTTAGGTGATAGGCAAGTTTACGAGGAGATTGAGGTGGACCCCACGATAGAATTGGGTAAGGCCGTTAATAATAGGATTAATGAGTTAAGGGTGGAGGATCCCGGGTTAAAGGAAGTGACTGATTTTCTTAAAGTTAATGAAGGGAAACTAGGTAGGTTCTATTTGTTACCTAAGATTCATAAGGGATTAAGTGGGGTTAAGGGTCGACCAGTCATTTCCAATTGTGGCACCGTTACAGAAAATATATCAGAATATCTAGATCACCACCTCAATCCACTGGTTAGCCTCGGTAGGTCTTACATTAAGGATACTAATCATTTCTTGTCTAAGTTAGGTGAAATAGGTAGGACACCAGAGGGGGCTATACTGTGTACAGTTGATGTTGTGGGACTCTATCCTAGCATTCCACATGGGGAGGGTCTGGAAGCCATCAGGGAAGCGCTGGATAGAAGGGAAAACCCAAACGTGGCTACTGATACCCTAGTGGGATTGGCATCTCTGGTTCTTGAAAGCAACTACTTTGAATTTAATGATAAGTTTTATAGACAGAAGTTAGGCACCGCTATAGGAACTAAGTTCGCTCCAGCTTATGCAAACCTCTTTATGACTGGGTTGGAAGAAAGATTGTTGAAGGAATCAGTGGACACACCAATTGTCTGGATGAGATTCATCGATGATGTTTTCTTTATCTGGACACATGGCGAGGAGAAGCTTGAGACCTTCATCAACTTTCTTAACAGTAGCCACGATACCATTAAGTTTACAGGGGAGCACTCTAGGGAGAGTATAAGTTTTCTAGACGTTAAGGTTAGTGTAAGTGAGGGGGGAGTCCTAACGACAGACTTGTTTTGTAAACCGACTGATACACATCAGTATTTACATAAGAAGTCTTGTCACCCATGGCATACCAAGAAGGCGATACCCTATAGTCAGGCTTTAAGGTTACGTAGGATTTGTTCGGACGATCGCCAGTTACGGGATAGGTTAAGGGATTTGGCTGGATGGTTAAAGGCAAGGGGGTATGAGGAATCACTTATAACAGAACAGATAGATAAGGCACGTAGGCAGGATAGGGTTACACTACTGGATAAGGCTAATGGGAAACATGAACACAGTGGGAATGGGCGGGTTCCATTTGTTACCACATACCATCCAGCCTTGAATAATTTGGGCAAGGTGGCCGGGAGACTTCATTCTATGCTTACAGTATCAGAAGAGCATAGGAAGGTGTTTCCTCAGCCACCTTTGATATCATTTAAGAGGTGTAAGAATCTTAAAGATATACTAGTTAGGGCTAAACTTCATAGTGAGGGGGCAGGGGTTTCGCATAACAAGGGTTGTACTCCGTGTGGCAAGTCTCGGTGTCAAGTGTGTAATGTTATGTGTGACATTGATACTTTCACTTCCCATATAACTGATAAGGAATATAAGATAAATTTTTCGTTTAATTGTGATTCGTCCAATGTTGTGTATCTTATGGAATGTAAAGTATGTGGTGTACAGTATGTGGGTAGCACTTGCACGCCTTTTAGGCTTAGGTTTAATAACTACAAGGCGTGCAATCGTAAGCTTATCGGGGGCTCTTCGGGTGTACCTCAGGCTGATTTTTTCCGGCATTTTGCAGGGAAGGATCATCATGGGTTTCTCGAAGATATAAAAGTTACTATTATAGATAGACTTAATGGGAATGGTAGGATACGTGAAAGTTTCTGGCAGTATAAGTTAGAAACTTTTGCGCCCCGGGGCCTTAATATTAGGTTAGTTGACACATAGTTTTATTTTTATTTCCTATCTTTTTGTTTATTTTCTCCTTGTTACTTTTGTTTATTTTTATTTTTTCCACGTTTTCTATCTACTTTCTTTCTTTTCTTTGCATTCTATATTTATTATATTTATTTACCTAGTTTCTTATTTTTTTTGGGACAGACAGCATTTACCGTTCCTTTTCCTTGGACCTTTCTGCATGCTATACCATCTGCTATCACACTTGTTCTATTGTTCTTTGATCTATTGTATTTATCCATCTTTTCTCACCTCCGGCTGTGCTTAGAAACTATCATTATGTTGTTAAATTAGCTATTATTGTTCTTGCTTGTAAAATGTGTTACTTTTTGTTCTTTTGTTCCGTATTCCTTATTTTACGCTCCAGATGTATGTGTTAGTTATTCTGAAGAAGCTTATAGCGAAACGTCAACCAAGTTGTTTTTTTATTGAGTATCTATTTATATTTTTAAAGAACTTTAAAGTTAGGAGCTATTGAATATATATATATGTATATATATATATATATATAATATATATATAAACATATAAATATATCTTACAAATGCAATAACCAAATTGCAAATTTGCTGGTCAACTGAGTTTATCGAGATTTTTCAGCCTTGTGAAGCATAGGTATGAAGACATATCCAGATCCATATGGCAAGTACACAACTTTCCTCACAAAGCTGCATCTTTCTACCAATTTTCTCTTTGTAATCTTCTGAATAGAAAGGCAATATCCTATATTGAATGTCTTTGAACAAGCTGGAGCAGTGAATATGTTTTCTCGATTTTTCACATTTATAATGTCACATAAAAATAAGTCATTTGATTGAATTTGTCTCACAATAACAAACTTATTATCCACTTGAAGAAAACAACTGTCTCTCTCGCAAACTGAAATACTTGTAAAAAGCCTATTTGCTTCCTCTTTGCATGATGATGTTGACTGTAACTCAGCTTCTCTTTTTGCAACTTGTGTAACTGGATTTTTGGAATTTCTCACAAACCTCTTTAGTATTTGCAAATGATTTTCAAATTGAAAACATGACACATCGTTTAAAGAGCATTCAAAGTGTACCACATCTTCTGGTAAATACAATAAACCATGAACATTGTAAACAGCAAATGTTTCACCATAAAGGAATTTGCTATTTTCAACAAAGTACTTTAATAGTTTTTTTTGCATATTCTATGTGATCCATTCTCCAGCTGTCATCTGAATTCAACATAATTGATAAAGCAATTGATAGAGATAAGAAGTGGTGATATGCTTTAGGTGGTAAAGTTGACTTCAAAACAAGTGGTCCAGTGTACAAAAGAAACTGGCGAAATTCAGTTGCCTTCCATCGGTCTGCTTCGAATAATGACCTTGGTTGCCTTGCGAATTCAGATGGCATACTTCCTTTGAAAGATTCTAGTTTGCTTGAAATTTCAGTCAATTGTCCATGGGACAATTTACACTCTATTGGACCAGACTTCCAAAAATTTATCAATCGCCGAACCACACCCAAGCATACAAGATGCATGTAGTCTAATGCAAAACTGCTGATACAATTTATTTGACACTCAATCAATGGACAAGCTTCCTTCTGATGCTGTGGATAACCAAAGTCATTAAATGTCTTTTCTTCACGCCTTGTTGCAACAGTTCCTGAGTTGTATACAACCCTACCCTTCCATGTACCTTTTATTATGCATCTTTTACAAGAATAATAGCCAGTGTGATTTATGATTCTCATAAAAAAGGATCTAGCTGGAGCATCACATGTAAAACAGTTTACAACCACATCTAACTTCTGTTCTGCAAACATGATACCATCTTTTGTAATTGACTTGAGGTCCTGAACTAAATCATGCAAGTATTCTTTGGCAGATGAAAGTTTCGAAGTTCCACAAAACAAGGCAACAATAAAGACCTTCAAGCCATTAAAGCTTGAAAGGATTGGCCACATCTGAATATTTGATGCCTTGAATAATGGCACCCCATCAATGTTTATATTCAATTTGATAGTGCGGTATTCTCTGCAAAAAGAGGGATTGCTTGTAAGCACCCTGCGTATCCCAGCTTCCAGGCCGAAGTAGGCATACTCCCCTCAACACCTTTTTTGTGACTGAATATCTTGTGGGGTGTGGAGAAGTGTGCAAGAATCTTTTGGAAGAGAAGAGTGACCATTCCGCCATAAAATATCCAAAAGTTCGTCAGTGGCTTCCCAAGAACACCTATTTCGTGCGGCCCAAGAAGCAAGCTCTTCTTGAAGAAGCTTTTTTTCTGGAAGCTGTGTTTCAATGTTATCTTCAGCACAAGCGATCTCACTATCAGAGCTTTCGAAATATCGGATATCTTGATCATCTTCGTCAATGTTATTCTCAGCTACATCAAATTCGTTGTCTTCGACATTATGGCCTAATTCGCAATTATCATCCATCATGTAAATATCCTCATCGTCGCTATCGTTCGCCATTTCGTTAACCCTAGCCGTTGTATGGCGCCAAAGACTTAGATAATGTGAATTCGACATAGCTACAGTTTATTTGGGAAAGTAATAAAACAGCCTACCTTCAAGTCTTTTGCAAAATAATCTCTTCTGCTTGCCTCAGTCTCTGGTATTTCTGCTCTTCGCACCTTTTTTGCGCTCTTTTTCACAATTAAGGTTTCCCGGATGTGCGAGGTTGCCGAATGCAAGCGCCTTCACAGGTTAGTTAAAAAATTCTGTGCCCTGACCGGATTCCAAAACATTCTGTGAGGGTGCGACGGTTGTTTATTCAAGTATAAATGTAAAGGGGCAGGGGACATATGCGTTTAGGCCTATGTGACTATGTTCTGAAACTTCTCAGATCTAATTATTCAAAACTTTTTCATGATGGGCCTTGTTTTGCCAATATCAATCACCTCGTGTTATCAAGCACTACCTACTGTATATACGTTAAGATTGGTATTTTTAATTTGCAATTGTTGAGAGAAGAATGGCTGAAATTTTCTTAAAAATGAGTTTTCTTAAAAATGACCTGAAATTGACTAACATCGTATCAATATGACATATTCGTCGATATTCGACGAAAATTGGACGTCACATGTCTCATTGTCGAAACGTGGACGTCATATTGACGTTGCATTTAGGTTGGTCGTAAACGTGACATGAAATCGACCAAAAAACAATGTCGATATGACATCGTGTGCCGGCTGGGTAAGTGGAAGAACACCAAAGAGGTTCTCCTCATTAGTTCTATGAGCAGAGCAGTGCCATCAGAAACTAATTTTGTTACAAAATCCCAAAAAGGCACTACTGAAAAAACCACGAGAACATACCCAACGTGTGTCATTCAATATAGAAAG